CTCGCAGACGACTACGTAGTTTAGTCTTTCGTTTGGAAAAGAACCCTGAGCTCGACAGGAAATACAATAACTTCATCAACGAGTTTATTAGCCTTAGCCATATGGAGGAAATTCCAGACAACGAGTTGGTGCGACCGCACTATAACTGTTTCTACATGCAACATAATTGCGTTTTAAAGGGTTCAAGCACTACAACAAAACTTCGAGTGATTTTCGACGCATCAGCAAAAACGACATCTGGAATATCACTCAACGACAAACTGATGGTTGGACCTACAGTTAAGTATTCTGATTCGCTTTTGAAAGCTTCAGGTAGCACTTTTAGTCGACATTGCGAAATTGTACCGCCAGGTGGAGTTGGATGAAGAAGATAGAGACTATCATCGAATCTTGTGGAAACATCAAAATTCGACAGAGGTTAGGCACTACCGAATGACCAGAGTTACGTATGGAATTGCTTCTTCAGCCTTTCATTCGATAAGACCTCTTCAAGTGGTTGTTGAAGAAAGTGACGACGACTCATTTAGGATAGCAACACACAACGACATGTAAAGAGACGACCTCCTATCAGCATCTTCAGATACTGAATCAGCAATTCAACTACAAGACAGATTCATCAAGACACTTGGTAAAGCTGGACTTGAAATTTGCAAATGGACATCAAACGACACGCAGCTAGTAGAAAGACTCCCAGTGCACTATTGAGAAGCAGCAGACGAAATGCTAATCAAAAGTCACGAGTATGTCATCAAAAAACTTGGAATCAAATGGAACCCAGTGCCAGATCACTTTTGCAGTTAAATTAAACAAAGAGTTTCCGATAACCAAACAACAAATACTCTCAGAAGCCACGAGACTCTATGAACCCCTTGGATGGCTTTCGCCTACGACGATTCAACTGGAATCATTCATACAACTCATGTGGACGGACAAAACTTGTAGGATCAAACGATATCAGTCACACTACAGGAACATTATGGACGCCTTCGGCACAGTCAAAAACCTTCAACTTCATGTTTTCTGTGACGCATCAACTACAATATATGCAGCTGTTGTGTATATGCGACAAAAAACCAGCGAAGGTACCACAAACGTCGATATTTTGACCGCAAAAACACGAGTTGCGCCTATTGCGTGCACTTGTGTTCCACGCATGGAACTTTGTGCAGCACTTCTCGGATCGAAACTAGTGGAAGCAACTCTAGCCGCCATCAGCGATCAGCGGTTCATCATACCTACTGTTTTCGTGTGGAACGACTCTCAAGTTATAATTGCGTGGTTAAAAGAATTTCCTCGCAAGTGGAAGACTTTGGTTGCTAATCGAATAGCAAAAATTGAAGAAACTCTACCAGCCGAGAGATGGAAATTCGTGCCGACGAAAGCAATCCTACTGATTGTGCTTCTCGGGGAATTCCATCTTCAGCTCTATCATATCATGAACTTTGGTGGAACGGACCAACATGGCACTCACAGTCATCAGACAAGTCGCCGAGAGTAGAATCAATCCCAGCGGAGACGACCCAATAAGAAACCAGAACAATTGAAGACAGCGGATCTGTTACAATGGTGACAGTGGAAAAAGAGAACAAAGTCTGAGACCTGTTGACCAGGTTTTCACGGCTTTCGAAAATTGTCAGGATCTTAAGCTACATCAAGATATTTGCCAAAAACTGCAGAACTCATCCCAGGTTGGATTTTGAAGCTACAATTCAAAACGTAGCATACGCAACAATTGCTACAGGAGGTATAAATAATCGCGATGATATTGGCACAAGATTAGGTTTGCAGACAGAAGAAAGCGATGGAACAGGTGTTGGTACAGGAGTAAGTTTTGGTACTGAGAAAAATCGGAAAAATTGAATGAAAAACGATACTGGTAACCGGCATGGTAATGGTACAAACGTTACATTGCAGACGGATAGTTTCCGGGATGGTATTGGGAGGTTAGGTATATGTAGAGAAAAAAGCAATGAGGACCGTGAAGGTATGGTTCAAAATCAGGTGTTGGTACAGGGGTAAGTTTTGGTACTTAGAAGAATCGAGAAAACTCAATATAAAAACTCAATATAAGGAAACCCGGGAAGTTATTGGTACAGAGGAAGGTTTTTGTGCAATGGTTGGTATTGGTATGGGTAAAGGTATGAGTAGTGGTTGGCATTATTACTGGATGCTAGTAAAGGAACAAGGACAAGACCAGATGATTGAACAGGTGTGGATACTGATTTGAGCAAAAGCGTGAACTCTGTTAGCGCCACTGATTGTCTTTCTGGTAAAAGTACAGGTAGGGAAAATGGAAGTAAAGGTACGGGGTTGGATAGCAGCTGCTTTGGGGAAGCTGGACTGCAGGTTTCGCAGCAATCGCTAATCGCGCAAAGGCAAAAATTCCATCGAGCAGAAACTCAGGAAGCAAAAACAACGACAACAAAACTGACGACTCACAACAACTTAGTGAAGTTCAATCAGAAGAGCGTCGACAATTCAGAGGAACTGCATCAGTTGCTTAAGCCTGAAAACTTTCAGCCGTGGAAGTTAGGGAAGATCGCACAGCTCTGCACAGCTTGGATCAGCAGCATCATCTAGCCGAGTGTTAACTTATCAGGAAAAGGAAGCATATTCCAAGGAACAGCAAAAATTTGAGCCTTTTGCCCTTCTTTGACGTTGAGAGCAACGTAATTTGTGTCGGAGGACGCCTCGCTAATTCACAATATGATATCAACAAAAAGTTTCCTGTGCTCTTTCCCAGGAAATCAGCAATCAACAAAGTGCTCATTAGGGAAGCGTTCGAAAGATCGATTCATAACGGTCCTCAGATGACACTATACACTCTTTTACAAACCGTATGGATACCAAGTGGCCTCACATTGGCCAAACAAGCAATTCATAATTGCAAGCCTTGAATTCCACAGGATGCCAGACTTCTTCAACCAGAACTGGGAGATTTGCCGCTCGAAAGAGTGGTAGAACCTTTTACTTTTGGCAACACAAGACTCGATTATTGTGGACCTTTCTACATGAAAGATAGCAGCAGCCAAGAAAATAAAGTATATGTGGCTATCTTCATTTGCTGTTCAACTAAAGCAGTTCACATTGAAACCGTGAACTCTCTCACAAAGGACGATTGCTTAGACGCTATAAAACGATTTTGCGCCAGAAGAGGATTACGGAAAGCTTTTTACTGTGACAATTCGATGACTCTTATTGGCCCCTGAGGTGAAAATGATTTCTAAAAATTGATGATGATCAAAGAGTTTAAAGAAATCTTCAGCACCTTCACCAACGACAACTGAATTTCATGGCACACTATTTCACCAAAAGCGCCACACTTCGGAAACGACCTTTCTTCCGAACAGTTGGGAAAACGCGACTACAATTTCATCAGTTCCTGACAGTTCTGCACTCGCTTTAACGCCCGGACATTTTCTCATCAGACGACCATTGACAGCATTGCCGAGTTCTACGCGCGACAAGAGGACATCGCTCAGTCGACAAATCAAAGCCATTGACAACATAGTTCGACAATTTTGGAAACGTTGGAAAGAAGAATACTTGACTTCTCTGCAGCAAAAAGCTAAATGGACGAAATCGCCATCATGACATTTCACCATTGGAGACATTGTTATTGTCAAAGAGGACATCATACGGCCTTTGATGTATGCAATGGGTCGTATCACTAAAGTCTTTGATGGCAATGACCACATCATACAGGTTGCGCAAATCAAAACCGGAACAGGACTCTACAATCGACCAGTGAACAGTTTTGCACTGTTGCATTCCGACAGAAATTGACCGACTACAGACTTCTCTTCATTCAGGACGTAACTCAGGGATTTCTTGTAGCCGTTTTATTGAACCCGTTCAAGGAGGGCGCGAAATGTTGTGACTTATCTCTACAAGGCACTGTAGCCGGATAAACTGTAACTATGCGGGCAACTGTAACCGTACAACTATTGACTTAAACAAAGTTTGTGAAGCTGAAACAGAAAATCATTTTACTCAATTCTGAACAGTTTGACTTTCTCACGTTTACATGTTAATAAACTAAGAATTTATCTTAATTTGTTTAGGAATCTAAGATTAAGGAATAGAATTGGATAGTAACAACAAACCACACGGAGGCTGTAACGGGCCAATTGAAACAATTTCAACCAAGCTGTTCATGTGAAAAACCGGAAAATCAGCCAAACTAATTGGAACCAGATAAACTCAAAAGTGAAACACTCCAAAACTGAAATAAATAACAAGTGCAACCAAATAACTCAAAACATTCAAATTCTAGAAAGGGTAAACGTCTTATATAGAAAAGAATAACG